GTGTGAGTTGTGTGTGTGTGTGGTGTTGTGTGTGGTGTGTGTGTGTGTGTGTGTGTGTGTGTGTGTGTGTGTGTGTGTGTGTGTGTGTGTGTGTGTGTGTGTGTGTGTGTGTGTGTGTGTGTGTGTGTGTGTGTGTGTGTGTGTGTGTGTGTGTGTGTGTGTGTGTGTGTGTGTGTGTCCAACCCTGTAGCTAAGGGAAGCGACCTGCGGTTTCCATTTCCACTTCGCCAGTTGCAACTACCAGCAATTTTGAATTCGCTGGAACCCGTTGAAGTCAAGATTGATTTACAACCATTTGAGTTTCTGTGCCTGGAATTCGCTGGAACCCGTTGGAGTCATGCCAGCCCAGAGAGTTCCTGCAGTGGTCAAGAGCTGGCGTCTGATGAGTATGACTTTTAGAGGCCACGAGCAGCGAACCTCTGACGAAACTCCAATTTCGCATCGTGCATGTCCTCCCAGATCAGCCTTTGTGGCGTACTATCTTCCTCCATAAAAAATGGAAAAAAGAGAGGAGCCGGAACAACTTGCTATGTCAGGAGGGGATAGGGCACAAGTGTGTTCATGCCGGTTGTTCGTTTAACGGCCCGACATTGGTGGGGTCTGCCCACCCAGTGGATGTGCCCACACGGGCTTGAATACTGATTGCCGTTTCGGCCCCTGAACACTGATCTCAGCCTCACGGCTGTGTATATTGATGTTGCCCTTCCACGGAGGGTCACCCTGAAGCTGAGTCCCATGATGTTTTCTGAACACTGCATGCCTCCGGGCCTCTGATGATCTACCTCTCCTGACCCACTGAATTTTTGCATTGTTGAAGATAACTTGATGTCGTATTCGATGTCTCGCTGGCAAGAATCTTCTTGGTGGAGTTCGTCAAAGAATTGGGATCAGTCTTGGTCCAATGACGATTGGCGCGGTGATGGCCACCCGGCCAGCGCCACCCCAGGTTCAAGCTGGCACGCCAGACCCTCTAGCTGGCAGACCGGGGCCCGCAACCCCTGTACAGATTCCGAGCGAGCCCGTCCCCTCGAACTACGACAGTAATCTTCGTGTGTCTTCGCCTCGGGCGGTTCCCCCTTCACATTGGTCCACCGATGATGCCTTTTGGGATTCTAAAGTGTTGGGAGGCCACCAATTCCATCGCACTGTTCAGCCGATTGCATGGAGCCGGAAGGCAGGCATTGCAGGAAGGCAGGTCGATGACCTCAAGTTACATGAGTATTAGCTACCATGGAATTCAAGAGTATTCGCTGAGGTTGTTAAGCGAAGGACGATTTCAAGGTTTGGTGTACACAAAAAGTGTGGCCGAAACGATTTTTGCTCAGGCTTTGCGAAAGGCCACCAGGGAGGCAGCTATAGATGTGGATCGCTTGGCTGCCGCCCTGCACAGTGATGGCCCACCCGACAAACACAAGGAAGCTGTTCGTTTTGTGACGCCGTTAGTGACTCGGCTGGTGTCATTGATGCAAGAGCTTTCTCCTTCCACCGGCTCGTCTGGCGAAGCCGACGAGTTAAAACGACGCCGGGAGAAGATGCAGTCATTAGGCATTAATTTGACACCTCGAAAAAGGTCAGCCGAGGAGCTGGACCCTTCTGATCCAGCATCTGCAAGGCAGCCTCGCACAGAACCGCCCACCCTCCCTGAATGTTTGCTTGCACCGTACCGGCCCATCCAGATTCAGCCGGAGGGGCACACAGAGACCTTTGTGACCCAATGGGTCGAGAAAGTGACCGGCAAAATGACCAAGGCCAAAGCTTCTCAGTTCACCGAACACATGAGCACTGTTACACGCCTGCTTCGAAAGCAGGACCGGGCGACCTTGCAACAGGCTGCCACCCAGTACGGCCTTGACCCTTCCCTGGTTGACAAAATGGCCAACCGCAACCTGACCACAATGCTTGCGGCCAGTCAGTACCTCGCAGCTTGACTAGCTGCAGAGGCCAAACTAATCCGCACGGGCTCAGAGAGGGATTTTTTAATGCATGACATTTGTGAATTAGGTGCTGCCGTGTCTTTTTTTCTGCATGAGCTTACTGACATGTCTAAGGCCAATCTTTTATGGGTGCAAGGCCTGCTGCATCTTTCTCTCCTGTTTCATTTTGCAAGTGGAGACCCCAACAGTCAGACCCAGTGTCTTCGCCAGAAGTGTCTCGAGATGAATGTCGCTCCTGCCAGTTATCGATGGGACACTTTTTCTGTCCCTTGCGCTGTTTACTGTAAAGCACCAGTTGACTGGAAGCCGCGGCGGTATTACAAGCAACCCAGTCAGATGATCTATGTCGGCAGCACTTCCGTCTCTGTTGCAAGAAGAGAATGGAATCGCCATGCGGTGCTGCGCCGCCTGGAGCACACCCCTTGTATAATGCGGGGAAGCCCCACCTTCACTGGACATCTTTAATGCGGCCATGCACATGGAGTTTTCCGCTCTCACCAATTTGGTTGCGCATGTCGATCCGGTAGGGACGTTTTCCCAGCCTTTGGACGCCATCACAGCTTATC